CTCCTCATTCTTTATTCTCTCCTGCGTATACCTACCGAACATGTCTAAAACTAAAAGGTTTACCGGTACACCGAAATGTTTCAGAAAACGTATATGCGTAATGGACAGCTATCTTTTAGAGTTTAATAATATATTATAATGTTCAACTTTTGACAACTTTTGATTGTACGCAACTCATAAGAGTATATCGTTTACTCGTATTATTATTATATTATACCCATATAATATGTTGATTAAACCGTATAATAATCCACTGGGAATCAACTTATTGTATAGTGATTCTATAATGGTTAGGATGAGTCATATTTTATATAATATGTACATTACCTATATATTATATGCTATTTTTTGATGTATGAAGTTCATGTTAGTTCTATAGTTATTATTTTATACCTGCTACATAATTTATTTAAAATACGACACTAAATAAATATTTATAAAAACTTTATATTTGTTTACTATCTATGCATTGAAAATGAATGATTTCTGGATATGCAAAGACAACGATGGTTTTACACGTTTTGTGGATACGTTCATTTCATTAGATTTTTTTCATACTGAGTAATAATAATGCCCTTATTGATTAGTTATTCATAATTATTACTGCTGTTGTTAAAGTTAATATATTATATATATATATATTGCAGAAGAGAAACTATAAATATTCAAAATATTTATTTATGTTTTGTCATGGATTGGACGTATTAGTATTATTATATATGCCGCATAGGAAATGGATACCATTTCCTTGCTATTTTATATCATTATATTCATCACTATACTTTCTTTTTCAAATTAAGTTTTAATTTGATATTTATCAATTATACGGAATAATAATAATTCTAATGCTGTAAACTTTTAATTAGCATGCCTTTGACGTTTTAAAAATAATGTTGAATTCATGACGTAATTAGAGATAAAAGATAATAATATGTATGAAATGTATGGACATTTATTTATATATATGTACATATATTCATTAAACGTTATTTCCATGCAACTTTACACCGAACAATTGTTTTAAATGAGTTTAGGAAGTCGCTTAATTCGCAGAATACAATTGTAATATAATCCATTTTAATCAAAGTTATTGTTAACCTGTTTTAATTTGACAAAATAATATTCATTTATTATCATCATACTAGCAGTAGGACCAGTAGGTACGATTAGATATTATAGTATACAGAGTACCTACATGTTTTTTACTTTCATATTATCCAAAGCTATTTATAAATAATAAAATTTAATACATGTATACTGTATACCTACTGTTTACTGTATTATAGTAATTGGATTAAAAGCATAATGCCATGAAATGTGTTTAGCTTCGAAACAAAAATGATTAAACATAAACATTTCCTATTTTGAAGTTCAAGTTTATAAGCTAAGTAATTTGTTTGTAAATAATAGTTATCAAGATAAAGTGTTTGCCTTATTCAACATATTTATATTTGTTCATGTTTTGTTTGTAAAAAACAACATAGTTGGAATTTAGATCTTAGTTTTATATTTCATTCTAAAAAACTTGTTTACTTAAAAGATATAGCTTAAAAACTTTTACCGTAAAAGACGAATATTTGAAAGAACAAAATTATGATCCCAACATTTATTTGAATAATCACAATAGTTGTAAATTTAAACATCAAAGGCCTGATTCGGCTGATTCTGAAAATTATAAATATGCATCTTATCAATATTGTTAAGCTTTTTATTTATATGTAAAATAAGTAGGTATTTTCAAATATAAATCCATAGGCTATAGAGTAAAGCTTAACTATTACTTTACCAGGTTATTGTGTTTTATAAAAACTGTTAGGTAAGTATAAAATTGTATAAATTATTTTTATTTCATTTTTTCATTAAGCAGGTACATTAAATAACTTAATAGGTACAAATGTGTATAAAGTATAACCATTTTTAAACTCTATATTAAGGCCTAGATTTCAATTAAAAGTTTTTTTTTTGATGCTCTGTAACAATGTAACTCAATTACATTATTCGATTAATGTAACAAATCTTATAAAAATTGTTATTTAGTATTTTTTTTTTTGTAATTTCTCAGTGCTTCGTATCCTAACCTTCGATCATATTCAGGCATAAATTTTTATTCTATACATCAAATTATTTATTATATTTTATTTTTATTGCATATTAATACATTTGTTGAGTTAGTAGTGTACATTTAGGTACCTAATTCAAAATAATATATTTAAAACAATCTGGTTATATTTAATGCAATGGTCAATATTTAACAAGTATACAATATTTGAACGCAGAATTTAACATACTGCTAGATAGTTAAATATATTCTTAGTTTTATATTTTTGTATTTTTAGAATGGATAATACAGCTCCAATATAACGTTGTTCGCCAATAAACATTATGGCCATTGGGCAATGAGTCATTTATAATGTTTTCAATAAAATTTTAAACTTCTGTGAACATTAAAATATTTATTAAACTGATTTTTTGCAATACAACTTAAATTTAAAAAACACATTTTCAGGGGGTAATTTTCGCAAAAATACATTTTGCCTATTTTTAAATGAATATTTTGACAGTTTCTATATTTTATGGTCTTTAAATTCGGGCATTACACTTAATACAACATTAATAATACTTATATTTTGATATGCGAATCAATAAGTGAACCCATTCAATTTGTTTAAAAAAATGCACTCTTTAATTTTGATGCATACCTACATTAAAGTTGTTTTAATTTTATTAATGGTTTAAACATCTGTCAAAAATATATATGTATACTTACAACAATTTTTTGAAGAACAGTTTTGACCAAGTCATAAACACCACTTTGAAAACCCAACTAAAATTTTTATATTATTCATCTAAAAGTTATGTGTAATAATTGAAAATTACTAAATTAGTAATAAATCCTCTTGGGACTCGCAGACGTAGGTACTAGGTATATTACCCGAAGATATTATCCATATCTTCATAAGCAATACGTGTACTTGATATTTGACATTTAAGTGATATATCGAGTACCTTCACCTTATTACCTTAATTTATTGATTGTTTTTATTTTACTACTGTAAAAATATTAACAAAAAATATTTATACTGCGAGTAATAAAATAACATCAGTCCTCTCAAGCCACGGATATTTTTTTATAGAAGATTTATCTATTCGTGTTATACCTCAATAATAATAAATAAACTCTGAACTTCTAACAGCAAAAACCAATTTGCAGATTTATTTAATTCAATAAAAATATATGTGCATAAAAAAAGTTTTTTATGAGTAACTCGAAGAAGGACAATCGCCTTGTAAATGAACGTACCCGCTATGGCGCTATGTACCTACCTACTTTTCAACTCTCAAGTACACTATTTCCAACACAGCTGTACACATAATATATATAGTAATAATTTTGTTAGCTCAAACTTTATTCAAATCAAGATGCTTCAAACACAGGTTGTGCAGGACAGCACCAGCATACTTTAAATTTAACAAGCTAGAAATGTGCATCACAAATAAATAAACAGCACGTTTGAATGCGTTACTAATTAAATTGTATATGTGAAGGTACCTGCAGACTGCAGTTTAAAATGCAAATAATCATAACCTTCTAATTATAGTATTTATATGCGTTAAATTAACTTTTGCCAATTTTTTTATTTTAAAAATGGTATAAGTACTTATAGTTTGTTAAGACCGTTTGGAATATATATCATACTTATGACAAAAAAGAAAAAAACATCAATACTATAACCATAATAATAATATCTGCAATAAATTATCATTGAAGATATTATTATTTTTTTTTGTCTAATAATATGTATTATTATTATATATTCGACTTTTTTTTAAATCGATAGTCAATGGAGAAGAAACATATATATATATATATAATGTCTAGTACTCTCGCAATGTATTTTATGTATTATGTGTAAATATGCCATTTACGTTTGATTCAAAAGAGACTTAAGTGTAGAGATTTCAATCATCCATGTGCGTCCTATGAAAACGATCAATATGCGATGTATTATATTGTACACAACAATAGTCAATAAGTAAAATAAAGTTTATCAAAGCCGAACAGTTTCATTGAATCCAATATTTCTGAGAGTTCTGTTGTACGTATACGATGAAATGTTACAATCTCTATGATCCCTTTTCAGAGTAAAAAACCTTTGGGAATTCGAAAAAGTAAATAATATAAAAACTTTCATTTTTATTTATTGTTATTGACTTTTTTAGAAAACATGCGATGTGTTTGTGTGTACAATGAATCATGTATCATTATAATAATAATACAAATAAATATAATACATTAATACTCTATACCTGTCTATTATTATCATATGATTGCAGAACAGTGGACTTGCTTTTTAAAATATACTTTTATCTACTGAAATAGTAAAATTACATGTATTTTTTTATTAAAAAAATGGTTTCTGCAGTGTATAAGGTATATAGTATATATGTACATAACCTACTAGGTAAACATAAAACGTTTCGTTTTTGAATGGAACATTAATTGTTGTCAAAATTATTTTAAAAGTAATAATAACACGCGTCATAAATTTTGTTTTTAACTTTTTATATTGTCTGTATATTGTATTTAACGAGTTATTAATATTACACAATATACTATAATGTATCCACCGAAAAATAACAAAATAAATTTCTCGTGCTTAGTTTCCAGATTAATATTTCATCACTAAAATTAAACTAAAATGAAAACATTTTTATTCAGTATAGGTATAGTATATATGTGATATAGGTACATATTTATGTTAAAGCCTGCAGGGTGAGTCACAGTGTTTTATCATTTTCCCCATAATAATAATATAGGAATACAAGAAAACACAGATATCCCACGCTGTATAATAAATTTAATAAATATTAATATACCTGCCTGCCTATTAAACAAATAACTGCTGTCCACAGCAGTATTTTTAAAAATCTTTTTTTTAAAAGACACTTTTCAACGTGAACGGTGTTCATATATAATATAATACACATTTATGTTTCAGAAAAGGCAATCCATCGACTTGGTAGCCAGCAGACAAACATCGGTGCTCACATGGGTCGGTCTGGGACTTATGTCAGTGCAGTTTGGCATATTGGCTCGGCTCACTTGGTGGGAATATTCGTGGGACATAATGGAGCCGGTCACATACTTCGTCACTTATGGTACCGCCATGGCCGTATATGCTTACTATGTACTCACCAAACAGGTATATTCAGACAATAATCATCAACTCGTCTTAATATGTAGCTAATCAATATAATTATATATTTGAATGTATTATTTTTAATCACAATAATTATTGTGTTATTAAGCCATTAAAACATATTTTTTTTAACCATCATTATGTGCGCAATATTTTCAATTACGTAATTGACATATTATAGCTGATGTTTGGTATAAATGTTTAATAATATTTAACTTGAGTCACGTTATCGCTGGATAACTCGTAATATGCGCGCAATAATGTAATATGTACCTATCTATTTTGGGAAATTGTTGAGTTGCGCCTGTATAGGTGAAAAGTGGGCAATTCGAGGAATTTTGGAAGCATGCCATTAATAACGGGAGCTGGAATTATGAGATTAATGGTCGGAATGATGAGTTTATTCGGCCGTGTTCCTTTTTGATAATGGGGATATTATGGGATAGGTAAATCATTACAAACAATAATTGCTCGTCCGAAATTCGGTGTCAATAAAGTTATCAATAGGGAGGATTTAGGCACGGCCGGCGGCCATGTGTTATCTATCGAAAAAAATCTTTGAAAAACAAAATCCACCCAGCAAAATATTTATTTGTGTTGTATTGTCAAGTGCACTTAAAAGATTTCTGTTTTAAGCCAATTTATTATAGAAAATAGTATTGTCATATTGTCCAATATTCTTTAAAGAGAAAGTATTAGTATTTTGTGAACAATTATTTTTTTATTTTAATATTTTACTGTCGTTCCTAATCTTCGATCAACATTCAACCATAATGTTTTAATTTTATAACTATTATTAATTTATTATCTGGGACTAGGGGTTATAATTTAACTTATGTACTTCTTTGATTCTCGGCGGAGCGATGAATGTATTAATTTTACTATGATATGATTTTTTTTTATGTGTGTTTGTACACGATAAGTGTTTGAAATAATATAAGCTTATAAACTCGATACAGTGTTTTTGGTATTTTTTTAGCTAATTTTCGGCGGATGTTTATATTACCATTTTCTAAACAGTCTAGCTGGTCAAAATCTATTCGGTTGTCCAAATAATAAAAAATCAGTATCATCGAATTTATCCTAGCAAGTATCATATTAAATAATTCGTATATTATAGGTAATTCGGTTTTGAACACATTCAACACGTCACTAAAATAATACTTCAACCGAATGTGCACTATAATAATTTGTGTGTGATAATTATCTAGAGAAATGTTCCAATAAATATTTAAATGATAATATAATAATAATTATCCATTATATTTTATTCAAAACACTCATTAAATTAGTGATATTTTCTACCTACACCTATAGTTCAATTATTTTTTTGTATTCTTTCGAAACTTTTTTTATTTTGTAATAAACATTGTAACATTGAATTTATTGTCCCTAAATTAGGTATAACTTATTTAACATTTATTTTTCTCCCGAATCGAGAGTTATACAAAGACAACGTATTATCAACGTACTATAAACTTTGTCTTAGTCGTTCGGGCTTACTGCAGTTACAACTGAACTGAAGACAATAAGTTTAACTAGTTCGTTAATAATTTACAATGTCGTTTGACATCACTTCGTTGAAACCCATTTTCCAAGCTTTCTATCCCCGGCAGGCTTCAACACCACAGACTTAAATATTTCCGTTGTGATTGGAATACGATAATACCCTTTTGCCCAGTACTAGAAGAAAATGAGATCAGAGACGTACCGGCCGTCATTATGGGTGACTTTGGTGGTCAATTAGCCTAGGTACTATTGGTGCCGGGGTAGGAGGCAGTGGCCCTTATGTGGTAAATGTCTACGGTAATGCAGGTGGCCTTTGAGCACAACCAGTGCAAGATGCAGCCCATGTAAGATGGACGTAATTTGGGTGATGGTGATCCTTGAACAAATCCTGAAAATGTCCCGAAAGCAGTTTGCCTACTTGAAATCTCGTTTTGTGGGTATCTGTCGAAACTTCAGTTTTCCGTGAACGCTCCAGCGGGGAACCCCACACTTTAGTACAATCTCGTCATCATCAATAACGTCCTTTTGCGAAATGTCCATGTCGACAAGTGTATTGATTTTTTTATTTACACTCAAACAAATTCAAGAAAAAAATTATTAATTTTTTGTACGCGATAAATAATAATATAAAATATAATATACCTAGGTATTAACAGTAGTTTCGAGAATTTTGATCAGCATTTTTAGTGCTTTGTACTTAACAATTGGCTTTTCAGTATTTGCTATTTAAAAAAATAACTCATAGTATATGATTTTTGTTCCCAGAAGTATCACAAAGAATGTATAATATTATAGTCATTGTTATTAATATTATAGTATTAGTAATGAAATCGTTATATATTGTGTACAGGTTGTATTTTAATATATTAACAATATACTTTGCAGTTTTTATATTGAAGTTATAATATATTACGGGTAAACCCATTTGTCTTCGTATTCTTCAAACTTCGCTGCATAAACGTTTATTCCAGAAAATACATCTTATGCAAATGGTTTTATACCATTGAGTTCAAATTTAACACATCTATTATAGATTGCAGTACCTAACACTTTCTGACCCTTCTATATACCTGCTGTATAGCAGAGTATGGTTTACAGTTTTTTAACATGTTTTCAGCGGGAGTATTAAAAAAATATTTACGTTATGTTAAACATGGTTTGAAATAACTTACAGTAATACATTAATCATTAATCCACTTTATTGTGATAAAGGCGTTAAATTATGGCAAAAAAATCTTATGTATATAATATTCCATTGTATGTGTTTTCAATTCATCCCAATTTTACTTAAATGTGCATACTATAAAACATTCTTTTTTCAAAGGTAGGTAGGTTTATAAATTTATAGTACAAACATTACATTACAAAATTCTTTTTTTCGCACGAATTCTTATCGTTTTGCACAACCCAATAGTACCAAATGTTTTCAGTCCATTATGCATTTGTTATCTTTTACAGAACAATTAACATCAAAGTATAAATTCTGCTTCATGTTCCACAACAATTGTTCCTTTTGTAGTTTAACGACTTCAAACTAGAATAGGACAAAACCCTATCCATATTTTCATCATTATATTATAGACATTTTGCGAAGGTATACATCATTGTATTCTTTAGCCATTTTCAAACTTAAATATCATGGCTTAATTCTTAATATTGTCACCGTATTCTCTAAAAATAATGTCCATGTATTTTTTTAATTAAAAAAATATGATATTTTAATATCTCTACTTTTTAATTCCCCCCGAATAATCTATAGTTGATTTTAGTTCTGTCCTGTATCATCAATTTTAAATTATCAAATACATTTTAGATTACTTTTGTTGCAGCTTGGATTTTTAGGTCAAACTCGTAAAATGTAAATACGTTGTTTGATTTAGTGGTTATTTTTTTTTAATAAATTGCTATTCGATTAATATTAAAGTAATGAGTTGAAAAAGTTTAATTATTTTATCGCATGCATAAATATGTTTAAATTATTATTTTAATTGCATCTAAAATTTGTTTTTTGTATTTTTTTATCAGATTTCACTAGTGTTGGTTTGTTTTTTAAGACTTTTATATCATAACTTATATCATTATGATAACATTTTTGTGCAGAGTTTATTTTATTCTTGTAGCAACTACTCTTATTTTCCTAGTACAACATTAGCAGATAGGACCCTCGAGTACAGTAGATAATAATAATTCCTTTGCTAAAACGTAAATAATGTTTTCGCACAAAGTATTATATTATATATGCCTAATTTATATGACCTTTGATACTTGTTTCATCACCGGTGAATTATATTTTCGTACACGTGTACGTGACCTATATACGTACAAAGTTGTGGTGCTTAATTAAGTCTATTATACTTAAATAAGGTAATAATGCAGCGAAAACATTTGTTTGGACAGTTATGGACAGTCGGCGGGGAGGAAAAATGAAAAAACAATGACGGCCGTTATTAAATTTGTAATTTATTGTCTTCTCTCACCGTATCTATATGTTTATAATATATGATATATTATATAAAATGATATTGTACGTGCTAAGGCTGCAGTGGGTCAGAATGTCTGAAGCCGCACCCCGCGCGTATATATATTTATATATTATATGTATAGTAGTAATTTCAAAAGTAATTTACCGGGTTGTTGGAGAAATGAAATTTAACGTTGACAGCAAAAGGTGTCGGTAAATAATATTGTTGGGCACTTACTGCGGCGGGCACTCGGGTATTATATTTCCGATTACATTTTTTACATCCCTTAATATAATACAAAACGCGTATCGCGCTGGGGACTCGCTCCGCCTAGCTTTACCCATTTTTAACTCATCCGGTGGCGCTGCGCTTGATTTATTTCTTGCAGAGCCACAATGGGAGGGCTCATTCAGTTCGCGTAATTTTAGAGTTAAGTAATTTCGTTTTTAGAAACGAAGGACACCGTAATGCCCAATGTTATGCTCTCGAGTCTCGGACGACTACAATTTATTGGCGGACCCGTTCGGAAATCGAAGGCACCTCCCGGTTAGGAGCTTTATCTCGAGGTATTGACGTATCGTACAACAAGGTCTAAGCGTATATATATACGCATATTGTATTATTTTACGCTAATGCGGCAGTAAATATATTTAGTGTTCGGGGACCCCGCCTTGACGATGGGCATTTGCGACGGCTGCAGCAGTGACCCGAAAGTCCACTATTATAGATATTATACCGTGAGTTTCGATCGTTACCAAAATGGCTGACTGGGTGAAAGCGTAAATGTATGAGAAATCGAATATAATATATATTATAGGTACCTATAGTATGTAGTTTAATATTTCTCACTGTACAAACAAAGGAAATACGACGTGGTGCGTGTGCTACGGCTGCGGGATTTAGGGTTTCGTGTGACAAAAATATCTGGAGTACATAAAATATTGTATATATTAAAATATAGGTACTTATAGGTACCTAATAGAATGCGTGCTCAATATTTTTTGTATAATTACTTGGAAAACATTATTTTATTATAAGCATGTACGGTATGCCTGCAGTATATAATACGATGGTTAAAGCACACACACGTGTCAAGTACGTTATATTTATGAATTTTTCAAGAACCTCGTTTGACATTATATGAGAATGCAAAGATAATATAAACACACTCATAATCGACAAGGAGCTACTGATGTTTTGACCTTACCTATTTTAGCTCGCCTTTTTTATAATCTATAGAACCAGGCCTCCTGAATACAATAAAACAATTAGCAGAAGTGTAGATCAGCTCGACGCGAGCGGAAGGGGTTGAGTCTTTGAAATTAAAAAAATCAACCGATTTAAAGCGTCTACCACCAACAACAAATGATTATTCTATATTATTTAAAGATGTAATAAAAAAATCAAGCAAACAAAAATTCGAACTCAAACAAATTAATAAATATTTTCCATCAAATTCGTCGGAGAATTATATAAACTAGAAAAAAAAATTTTATTTGTTTGAATTCGAATTGTTGTCTTCTGATTTTTAAGACTTCTTTAAATTATATAGAATCATCTATAGTGATTGCAGACTCTTGAAAATCAGTTGATGTTTTTTAATTTCAGAAACTTCGCCTCTCCTTGAGATGGTCTACCCTTATGCCGATTTTTTGTATTGAGGAGGCCTGATTCTATAGATTATAATAAAATAAAATGAGTTAAAATGGGTAAGGTAAACCGTCAATAGCTCCTAGACTATACGTATTATACCTTACTACCTTCTCAAAACAATTTAATATCAAAATATATTTAATACATAGTAGAAATTCTTGTGAATCAAGTACAATAAAATAAAATTGACTCACCTAACCTACAGCTGACCTTTTTTTTCGTGATATCGAGAACCGGGGGAAAACTGCTGATTACATTACTTTCCCTCCGTGCCCCATCGTTTATTGCAAAATCTGCAGCTAACCTAAGCAGTTGTATATTTTTATATTATTATTTTTGCAATAACCTCGACCGTACCCGTTTCGCAGGAGTACCTGATGCCGGATGTTCGCGACCGCCAGTATCTGATCACCGTGCATAAGAAGGCCAGGAAGTGTGGATTAGACTTGCACACATACAACCTGCTCAAGGACAAAATGGCGGGCGTGCAGACCGATTTGGCCCGGCTCAAGGACCCGCTTGTCCCTCCGCACAGGGCACAAGTCCTGTACGATCCTCTGGCCGACTGTAACGCCACGGGAATGGAACCTACGGGACTCTGGTCCGGACTCCGAGCCCGGATCAAGTAATTGATGGATGAAACCAAAGGCAGAAGCGGAAAACGGACCACCAATAACAGCATTTGAGAACACGCGCAGTATTATGCATAATAAATAATAATTTTAATTTTATGTCTTCTTTTTACGATCATTTTTTTCTTTTTTTTCGTTTTAGACTTATTCGTTTACGTCGTATAAAAGTTGGTGCTAAACATATAATGCCGGTTTTCTTCTCGCTGTCGTTTTTCATCTTTCGTAAATATTCTTAGATGACTTAATCTCAACACAGGGTTAGAGTATTATAACTTCACGCACACAAAAAATATTAATATACTTTATAGGATAATATAGGGGGTATATCGTATATAGGTACCTACATCGGCTCTTTACAATACAACATCTGCATTCTGCAGTTTATCTGTACGCTTTTTTTGAGACTTTTTAATATGTAAAAATGAAAAAAAAAATTTCTAAACACGCTCTATCTATTTCGTAGGTATTCGATTTTTTTTTTTATAATAATAATCGTCTATTATATATATATTTATTACATTTTTTGTGTTCTTATATATAAATATTATATTATTATTGTTATTGTTGTTATCGTATAGAACGAGGACGAAAATCTCGTACCACAGTCGCTCTCGTGGAATCGTCTTTCCGTCACACACAAGCACACATATATCCACATACACACACACACACACACACACACACACACACACACACACACACACACACATACATACATACATACATACATACATACATACATACATACAACATACATACATACACACAAAACACAAAACACACGTGCACTTGTTGATTGATTGATCAAGAACAATCATAACCGTTTTTTTAAACTTTTTTCACTTTGGGTTAGGATCAGGGTCGTTTTAATAAATATATAATATGTTGATAAATAATGTTATGATAATAATATAATAATTAATATATGTACGCGTCGACGGCGGATCGTATTGTATATTCGTCGTCGCTGGATTCGGTTAACGGAAGTTGCATAGTGCTCATATATATTAATATATAATATTATACAACGGCAATGACGCATAAGAAGTAACATAACAATCCTTGTTTTAATGTTGTGATAACGGAGCCAATATTTTATTATAAATGAATTAAAAGTTGTATAATTATTGCTCTTTTTTTTTGATTCGCCATATAGCATTTTATTTCGATTAAAGCTCAATGTAATTAGTGTTAACTATTTTTAAATTTATCTCTTTTTCTCGCTCTTTATTATCTCACTATTCTTATAGTATTTATAACATAATATATTCGTCAACTAACTTTTATAATTGTCTTTAATGATTTTCAACGCCATCATAATACATATTATTTATATAAGGTAGCGTGTAGATACAATAATACTGTAACTCGTGTTTAGTCAAATCGTTATATAATCAACGAACTTTTTTATCAAAACCGTCATTGTACGATGTTTAGGTCTTAGTTTCTAAACCATTTTTTTTTCAAATCTATTTAAAATCTATTCATAGACATGTATTAATGTAATTTTTTTTTTGAATTATTTATTTCTATTTATTATACCTATTACCTATTGTACGATTATTTATCTTAAATAATTATCGTTTATGTTTAAATGTATTAACTAAATCCTGTAAGTAAGTACTAGTAACATGCGTTGTACAAAACAACATTGTTATTCATTTTTACTTTAATATTGTACTAATACCTATACGTTTGTATGATTTGTTTTTATTTAATATTAAGTATTCCCTAAAAATCATTAGTATTAAGATTATTATACCTGTAAGAAGTTAATTTAATCAAATTTATGATGTTCCGTTGTATTGTATCGTTTACATTTTTAATTTCAATATTATATAGTATATACTTTAACATAACGTATTAATTTTAGTTGGCTTGTTAATCAAACGCTGAGAGGACGTCACTCGTGTAAACAATTTTAATATATCATGTGCCTATGTCCTAGAGATTTATTATAAGTAGAAAACAATTTTCAAAAAACCTCTTGGAATATGATATAACTTTTCAATAATAATAACGAAAAATAATATTGACTATTTTTAATAGTAAAGATTATTGTGAGTAAGTATTGTTTTTCTGAAAACTACATATTATTATTGTAAAAAAATTGTTTTTTTTAAATATTAAATTACTCATTATTAAATTAAATAATACCATTAGATGGGTATGTAATATGTATACATCATTAGGTACATGGTATCAAGATACTTTTTTTTCAAGTCTACTACTTTTAAAGTTTATTGCAAGACTTGAAAACAAATTATTATGTACATTATATCTAAAACGTAATTAAGAGTCACGCGTGGACAACCTCTTATCGCTATTGAATGTATACTTATATTATAATAGTAAAATGTTTATTTACGTTTGACGTGTGCATAATTATTTAACTGGATTTTAATTGTTAAATATATGTTATGCAATGACACATCCAACGTCTAATATATCGGACGCGTTATTGAAACATACTGTTGTAACATAGGTACATGTGTTGTACAAGATAAATAATTATTGTTTAACATTTTCATATATACGTATTAACGTGTACCAAAATTTTCTCGTTTATCATTGTTTTTAATAGCAAATCCCTTTTTAATAATTTAATGTATTAAAAAAAAAGTTTTATTGTGTTATTATAGCGTTTTTTCTTTTATTATCATTGCTAAACCAATCCCACTCAGGAAAATACATAGGTAAAAGCCAGTGTAGATACGTTTCAAAATTATCGTGAAATGTCGATCCATTAATCGCAACGCGATTGGCCCTGCAGTCCTCCAGAAAAAATGGTTGTAATGCCAGAAAGTCTCGACTCTTCGGCCACCAGACTGGAATCGCCCTTAAATCAATATATATTTGTTTGGATTTTTGTTTTTTTTTTTTTGTTTGAATTCAAATTTGTGTGACTTAGTATTTGTGAAGCCATTACAATATTCATGTAATATATTAATACAACTAACATTATCTCCGTGATTTAAAAACCGCCCGGATATGCGTGACACTAATGGGCTATGGCTGATGGAGCTTTTATGATTTATTGATGATATATTTTATATTTATAATATATACTATATTAATTTATATATGTTGATAGTTGCGTTCAGTTACCATACTGAGATTATACCATAACGCCTTCGTGGTTATTGGAACGCTTAGAATAATAATAGAAGTATAAGTTTTCATTATATTATTAAGTATATTAAAACATATAGCTGCAGCTTCCCCGACTCCATACCATTGTGTGCACGGTGAAGTGCAGTTGATGATCGACCAATGGCAGGCAGAGTGAAGAATAAAGAAAAAACTGTTACTGTATGTATAGTATATTATATTATTGTCCTTACTCGTTTTTGTCGAATAAAACATCATTCAGTAAAACCCGGCGGCTTACCGGTCGGAATTCAATTATTATTGTTATCGTACAGTTTAAAACGACAAACACTCGATTAAACTACAGAGCAATAAAATAAATTGTATACACCCGAGTCCACGCCGCGACGTGATAAATAATGTACCATTTTACAGGTCTGTTGCGAGTCCTCGCGGAGAGGGTTGTTCGCAAAGAAAAGCAATACAATTTCTAGAGAGAGTTTTCTTTCGGATGTATTTATTTTAAACTCTAAACTATTATTAACTTTTTCGGTTACAGCATCAGGCCATAAATGTGTCGAGGGACGAGTGACGACCCGGATGAACCACGAAATGGAAAAACTCCGTTCAATTCTAATCGGAGCATCATTATAAAATATAATATTGTATGCCAGCTATATTTCGACAGGCTATTGTATTATTATTATAGTATACAAAAACGTGGGAGATTGTTTTAATACTTTTGGTTTCCAAACGATTGTCGTCGCCCACTGTGGCAACACATCAACGTAGGTACACAATCGAATCTTATACAAATATCGACTGACTACTACAGGTGCTCATTTCAGTAATAGGTAGATACTATTAGGTACATACGAGTGCATTCGTCCGTTGCTTATATATTGTTAAATGTTTATAGAATAGATGTTTACCTCGGCCTTTGGCTTATTTACATATTCGTTGGCTTTTATACCCGAGCGCCACGGCTGTACACTATACCCATAATAATATGGCCTTATATACAATGTAATGCCGCGTGTTTTTCGTGTGTGTGTAACGTGTAGTATGTAGATCTGTTTTCACGGCGAAGTCGACCTATATAATACACTTTCAGCGAGGTATATTATAATAATATTTGATGGCAAAACGGCAAAAGTTGTCCAAGCATTTGAATTCAAAATGCGAAACGCATACCTACCTATTATAATAATATCAAATATGTATACCTACACAAGTATTATACGCGTACAATTTAGTCGATTATTCCGTGCGCGGAATATCTGCAGTAGTAGTATATGATGAATACAGACGGACCACCGCAGTATATTTCCTATAGTTTTGTCTTATCCAACTTATATTAGTTCAATAAATTGTTGAATATAGGCGATTGAGTGTATTTTAATCTTGATAAATAAATCATATCATATATAAAATAAAAAAGAGAAATTTAATGATATAGTAGGTACCTATATAATATGTGATAATGTTATGCTCGAAAATGTGCGAGGAAAAACGTCTGTGTGATTACGTAGACGAACTACTCCTCCTACTGCAAAATTTACACTATAAATCAGCGCTTGTCACATACGTTAAAAATGTTGAATATATTAATAATAAGTTTTAGGTTTAATTTATTATTATGATGGATATTGGATGGTTCAAATAATACTTAATTCACATTCACGTTTAAAATCTTATGAAAATAAAAAACAGAAAATTCGCCTGAAATCCCAAAACTTACTCAACGGCCCTTTTGATAGTATCCGATAAATTTACAGGAGAAACAAAAACCACTTAGTACGTAGATATACAGGATGCGGCATAAGTCGGTTCCCGCTGTTTTGTTATCGCAAAACTGCTTATTATTGTTATTAATTTATAATTAATTAATTTTTTTATAAATCTACATAAAATATACATATTTAATTTGCTGTGTTAATTGGGAAACCGACTTATGCCACACCCTGTATAATATATATATGTACCTATAATCAGTAAATAGGCAGCGAATAATGAATGAATTAGATCTCATTAATTTCTTATGCTTCGTCACTTATTATCGATTATTTTTGTTTTATATAATAAACGCAAACGTCCAAATCAGAGAACCAAAAAAAATCTGCTATTTGTACACTTTAATTATCAATTATACTGCATATAAATTATAATTATCGAACGATTGAATGTTAATTTTTGAATTATTACTTACGCATTTGATATAACTTCAGAACATAGGTACGTAGGTACTATGTGCGAAACTGTTGGAAGTCATTGGATAGGATGACAAAGTGATATAAATCAATAGGTTTCGTAACGGTAAAATATCAGATCGGAAAATAATAAAAAACGGTGTAATTTATTTAATGGGATATAAATTTAATTAAAAAAATTGACTTGCAATTTATTTTTTTTATAGGTACACACACAAATCCAAGGTTGAGCCACCAAGCATGTTGTATAGGCGCCCACGCAACGTGCCGTTTTCGATTTACCGATTCACTGGTTTCGGAATGTTATAAATAGGAATTCTTTAAAATCAAGTTTCGTATACCTTATTTTTATGCTTTTTGTGTCGATTCGTTTAAGCTATTTTCTATTTAAAGGTTTTGACTTTTCAAATATTATAACGTATGTAGTTGTGGACCCTTTGTAGTCTCATTACGTCTTCACTTTGTAGATTTGTAGATTTATTAGTAGTAACATTTTTTCTTCTTCTAAAAAATCAACAGAGACTGTTGTAATAAAATAGCATAATAGGTATGTGCCTGCTTCATATTATATCCACCTTTTTTATTTATGTATTTCACTCTTCGGTATTGAAAATGTTCTTGGTAAGTACCTACAGTAGGTAATGAAAATAAAAGGAAAAAATGTTTTAGTTGCCTACCTACGCCCTACCTATATTTATGTTCTATCCAGAACATAGAAATAACACCTCAACTCGGCAGCATTTGTAGACTTAATACAGTGAACTCTAGATTATCCACGGAATAGGGGGGCAGGACATCCACGGATAAACTAATTACGCGGATAATCTGCAAAACATTCGATGGTCTAGTATTAAAGGAACATAACATAATTATCATGTACATACGTCATACATAATATGTATTAATATTAAACAATCGTATTGTATTTTCTGGTAATCGGGAATCACAAATTAACACCCAATTAAACCGATAATGATTTATAATGTAAATATATGTATGCTTGTTTATTTTTTTTTATACATATAGGTCATATAGGTGTGTAGATGATTCCGCAGAAGACGGCGGGTAATCGAGAGTCCACTGTACATTTTTAACAATATATTAATAGTTATCTACTCCTACTTTTACAAGTGCAAGTAGGAAATAATCGAACACTGCAGTTATATTATTGAGTATTAAATAGTAATATTGTCTATTGATTAATACATTTTTTTAAAACAGAGAAATTACACTTTTTAAAATCTTAGAATTATACAAGAAAATATTGTCTAACATTTTTAAAAACATTTCGGGTGAACCCAATAAACAGCAATTTCTTTATTTCTTTAAATTTTAAGTAATTTTTTTAACTAGGTAGTCACATAAATTGGTTACTTCCGAAAAAAAATTAATTAATTATTTGTTATCAATACAACTGCAGTTAAACTTAATAAATATTAAATAATAATAATTTCATATTTTAAATTATTAAATTAAATAGTTTCTAACTTTAATACTAAATAATATAGTATATGTTACCTAATGCCTAATATATATTTCCATGGTTGTCATACTGTAATATGATAACCGTCGGTTAAGTAGATATTATACTAGGTATTTACTAAGTTTTAATTCAACAAAAGGTTATAATCATATTATAATGAATGTAACTGCAGATAATTACTTTTGCAATTATTAAACTTGGACATGATCAGCTTAGGAAATAAAAACAA